GGTTGGGGTTTAATGAGTTCTGGCTGTGCTTAAATTCTGGCTTCATTTGTCAATCATTTAAAACAACCTAACCTTAAACACACAGACTGAACTTTTGCAAATGGAAATGAGACATAATTTAAACGAGGAAAGCAAATTCCAACACAAATTATCCACTGAAAATGTTTTACATTTTAAAAATGCTTGAGAGTTTAAGAAAAAAAGAATTTCAGTTAAAAGTTAACTGCAGCTTCGCGATAGCTATCACCTCTTTTGTGTTTAAAAAAAAAAACTCCACTTTTCAAGAACATGTACTCACTGGCCACTTCATTAGGTACACTTGTTGAACTGCTCATTAACTGAAATATCGAATCAGTCTGAATATGGAAATGGATTTGAAAGATTTTAACTTCACCAATGTGGGTCAGACCAAGGAAAGTCTTGAAACTGTATCTGTGTGTGTGTTTATGGGACGGTAGTGACACTATCACCAAAACGTTTTCACCACATGTGCCCAAATCCTTCAAAGACACACACCTCCTGATATTTGAAGGATTCTTGGAGGATCTCAAAATGGTGAAACAGTTCAACAGCATAGGAGTGGTTGTAAATGGGTCACCTGGAGAGTAGAGGTCCTGCAGATCAGATCTGCATCTTCATCACAAGCACCTACAATGTAACAAAATAATCAATGAACAAAAATGGAATTCATTTATTCTGAGCTGAGATCAGAATAAATGGAACAGCTCAGAAGAATGATTAGAGTAAGATTGTAAAAGCACCTTTCAGCGACTGACGGTGGACAACCTGCTGCAAATATGTGAAACACATGTGCACGTCCCACACATGCAAGGTTTCCTGCGCTGTTTTGAATGAACTGAACTGAGTTTGCTAAAAGCAAGTTTTGTGTTCTGAGTGTTAACAAATATTGAATAAATAATGATGATTACAGATGGTATTTATGATGGGAATGATGTAATCTCTCATGCGCAGTGTGGGTCAGTAAATAACCGTCAAATAAAAGGACAAAATCAAATGACTGAAATTGTGTTAAAAATGTCAACATTTATTCGAGAGTTTGATTAAATATGATAAAGACAGTGCTGACGATTGTGCAGAAACCAAGCTAACAGAGTTCTAGCTAAAACCACAGACTCAAGCAATGACACGAGAACACATTCGAGATACACGTTTTGTGAACATGGCAGCTTGAGATCGTTATGAAATTAGGTTTACAATATAAAATATATAAGACAAAGAACAGGATTCACAGCATGCAGACGTATAAAGACACCTTTTCAGCCAGTATTAATGATCCAGATTATTGAAACTAAATACTGAAATTGGCAGCACGGTGGCATGGTGGTTAGCACTGTTGCCGCACAGCAAGAAGGTCCTGAGTTCAATTCCACCATCAGGCCGGGGTCTTTCTGTGTGGAGTTTGCATGTTCTCCCCGTGTTTGCGTGGGTTCCCTCCGGGTACTCCGGCTTCCTCCCACCGTCCAAAGACATGCAGCTTGTGGGGATAGGCTAATTGGATAATCCAAATTGTCACTAGGTGTGAATGTGAGTGCGAATGGTTGTCTGTCCCTGTCTGTTGGCCCTGCGACAGACTGGCGACCTGTCCAGGGTGTACCCTGCCGCTCGCCCTATGACAGCTGGGATAGGCTCCAGCGCCCCCCGTGACCCTGAAAAGGATAAGCGGAAGCGAATGGATGGATGGATGGATGGAATACTGAAATTCAAAATTTGCCACATTTATTTAAAACAACTTCACAGCGGAGATAATCAGATGATGCCATACTGGGCAAGCTCATGTAGCTCTAGATGGCTGTATGCCTCCCACGGGCAGATTACAGTGATGTCTAAAATGAAAAAAACAAAGAGAAGAAAACAAATCATGAGTTGTTGTTTTTTTTTTGTTTTTTTGTTTTTGTTTTTTAAAGGAAGAAAAGGTCATGTCATGTGCATGTTTTGGTTATGTAGCCATCTGACTTTTATTTTTTTACTTACCAGTTCCAAGACCTTCCATTCCTGGGATCTCCTCTCCAAAGCTGGTAAAGAAAGAAAATAACAAGCTTTACTGGAGGATATCTGACAAACTTAGATGACTCGTGCGAGGTTATCAGAAAGAGACATACCCGATCACTCCTCTTTTGGGAGGCTTGCTCTTGAACTGCCGCGTGTTCCTCTGTTTGAACTTGGGTGCAGACTTGCGTGGGGAGCCGGGGGCCGTGGCTCTGAGGGGAGCTTTGTTGCCAGTCTTTCCTTCGGGTTTGGCCACCTCCAAATTCATGCTTCTGTTGTTTCAACTGTAAAAGTCACTGTCTCATTAAAATGCCCAACAATGAATGAAACAGTTATAAAAATCTTGTGACGTAATTATCCTCATATAAAGACAAGCCATGTGCTCATGTTACTAATCAAATGCTGTGATACCTTCAAGCTTGAAAGCGCCTTCATAATCAGATTACTGTGAGGATGTGCTGAAGTGGCCTCTAGGTTTACACTGACAATAGCTTGAAATGTTTATTTATTTATTTTCACAGTTAAAAAATGGAAAAATAGCAATGCAATTTGTATGTAAATGTGCATAGATGTAACCACATATTTTTAAAAAAACAAAAAACAGATGCAAAGCCGAAAGAGTCCAATAAATATAATGTGCAAATAATGTACAAAACATGACTACATAAACAATAAGTTCTGCTTTTGCCCTGAAAGGTTACACAAATACACACAATGACAACTCTAATCAACAATTTCATAAGTTCAGCTTTTTAATCATTCTTAGAAATTCAGGTCATAGTTAAAGGCGGTCATATATTGTTCGGCGACTCTCATTTGTTGTCCTTCCATTATGCAAAAAAAAAGGTGTGACAGAAAATTAAAAACAATTAAAAAGCACCTCAATGCTTCTTATAATGTCCCTGATATAATCTAGTCTTCCATATGACTGAATTAACACCTCATTAACTGTATTAAAAATATATATTAGGCTGGAAAGACTGAATTTCTATTCTGATTAATTTTACATTGCATATTATTTATTAAATATCTACGTTTTAATTAATAATCTAATACTACATGCCTGGATGGATACAGAAACATACTACCAGGTAAAGTCCAAATAAAGATGGAAACTTTTATATAACAATAATAAACTGCATGTGTTAAAATAAGTCCAAAAAGAGAAAGAGTGTTCAAAAAAGATTTAACCTGTTGTTTCAACTCACCGCTTGTGGTGCTTCTCTTGGTAGTTGATTATGATGGTAGTGTCCAAGAGGTCTGAGTGGCTGTTAAATGCTGTTGCATTAAGTTGCATTAGTGCAGTCCTTTTATACACCACAGACTTAGAGACGATTATGACGCCACCTGCCAACAAACTGATGATTCTATCATCACTTGTACCCAAGCAGATCATTGATGAGGGATTGGCCGACTGGCATTCAGCAGGAGGGGGCAGCAGTTTCCTGTTCCTGAGACTGTCCTGAAGACACACATGCTGATGATTCTGAACGGGAATTATTTGAGTATTTTATCCATAACCTCTTCAGATATGGTCAAATGTAAGCACTGAGTTCTGGAGTTTTCTCAGGATATAGCTAATTATTATCACTGTTTTTCTGTTATGACCAAATATTATGTAACACCTGAAGCCGAGAACTTACTGGCATGAACCGTGACATTCTCCTTTCATCAGCAGTCTCGCAGATTGAGCTGCATTATAGCTGCTAATCCAGCCCAGCCTCCTTCCATCACACAGGTGAACACACCTGCTCCATTCATGTGAAGATTTACTACAGCGTCGTTCTGCAATCTGTACTGCTGATGCATGCTGTTCAGGCACATGTATGGACACTAACTCCTCATGTCACCTGTACAAAAAAGATTCAAATGTCTGAGATTAGTGGATATATTCAATAGAGCAAACCTGTCTAGCTACAGTACACTAAGGAGCCAGCTGTGGTATTTTAATTGAAGGTTGTTTCATTGAAGCTTGTTTATTATGTTCATTATAAGAAACACATGACTTTTTTCCTTTGTATTTTTGTATTTTGTCTAGCTGATCAATCAAATGGTATTTATTTCTGATGAAGAAATGTAGAGTTTACTCTTCACATTGTTTACTGGACAGAGCCACTTATTGATCCGCGTGACTGTTACATGTTATGTGACTGCTGTACAAATGATATGCACGACTTTGTAGATTCAAACCATAAATGATAAAGAGCTTGGTCTAGATCAGGGGTGGGCAGTTAATTTCCCCAAGGGCCCACATTCATCACCTAATTGTAACATCTACTCTTACCAGAGGCAGTTTAATTACAGGACAGTCTGGGTAATGAGCTACCAGAACAATTTTTTAAATTTATTTTTTTTGTAATTTTACACATTTATCGGTTTATTTATATTAATTTAAGCCCAAAAACGTGATGCTGGCAGATTTTTCTTTTATCAAAAGTAGCTACATCTTCATGATGTAGAAAAACTAAGACTAATTGTAGAAATCTCACTTATTTTTCTTATACTGAGATATTGCAGGGATTAAATTTCCATTTAAACTTCTTTACACTGAGAGAGAGGGATATTCACCATTCCCGCCTATTTAAAGACAAAGCGAATTGTCTGAACGACTTTAAATTATTTTGACCTATGTTTTCTACAGTTACTGGATGATGCCCTCTAGCGGTGGCAGGAAGCAGAGTCGTTGAATGGAGTGACCAACGACTGGCTCTGACAGGAAGCGTCTCTTGAGCCAATCAGGTTTGACCAAAGATCGTCTTATGTCTCATGTGTGTCACTCTGCAATAAAATTACTGTACGTCTCATTGATTACAGCGATTTAAAAAATTGACAATACATATTTAATTTGATTAAATCAGTTTGGTTTTTTTTACAAAGCAAGAGTTTCATCACGAATCTCTCAATCTGTTTCAATACGCCAAACTTGCAAATCATGTTTTGGTACCTGAAAAAGAAATGGAGTGAGATGTCTGTCCTCTACTACGTGCCACCGGTAGAGTTTCGGTTGAAGTCTGAGCATAGTGCTCCACGTGTGTTGTTTTGCTTTGTTATGCATTCATGTTAATTATTGTAGCATGGTGAAGAATAAGAAAAATAAAGTGCCCGATTCGGGGAAACAAGCGGGAAAACCTGGACAACGTCAAAGGTACCATAAGGAAGCTAATACGTAATGGAAAATGTGCTAGTTAAGCTAGTTAGCAACAGAAGCTAGCTGATACGGGCTCCAACCCAAGTTGTGAGCGATCAGATTAAACCGGACTTGTTAAAGTTTTAAGTGGGGACTTGTGTCTGCAACTAAACATGTTTGCTTTTTGTTTTTTCCTGTCTGTATTGTGTCCAAATTTCAGTAATGCCAAGCTCCAGAGAGATGGTAAACCCAAGAAAGCCAAAGAGGTGGACCACATTCAACACATCCCCTTCAAACTACGAGAAATAATGAAGGCTAAGGACAGAATGAAAACTGGGTCCCTAAAAGTCAAAAAGCCGAAAAAGGGTATAAAAAAAGTTTATAAATATTCATTTTAGTGTCATGACTGTCGTGTATAACTAATAAAGACTGTGTTGTGTCTTTACCCATCTCACCTGAAGATAAATCAGAGTATTTTCTAGATGGAGACATACCTGTTCCACATTTCAAGAGAGGCAAACGGGAAAGCGTGAAAGCTTACGTGCAGCGGATGGAGCGTGAGACAAAACATGTCATGTTCCTCTCCAAAAACCAAGTAGACAGGAAGCCCGAAATGGATGCAAGCGAACAAGAGAGGCCTGCACACTGCAAATCTGATAAAAAGAAGGAGTGAGTACACTTTACACTACACTTTACACTAAACCCCATCCTTATCTAGTAGGTTTCATGGCATAGCTTGTCTTCACTTATTCTGATTTGTGGCTGGGTTTCTTTTTTAGTGTTGTGGCACTGATATTTTTATATGCGTGACATGGATTGAATAACAGTAAAGTATTGAAATAATGTGTAAATCTTTTATCAAAGTTCTTGATCCACAAACTAATGACATGACGAAAAGCAAACTTTGTAGCTGCTCCATCCATCACCATTTGTGTTGTACAGCAAAAAATCTGCAGTAATCCTCCAGAAGTTTTATTAAAACATGCAGATGAACTGTTAACTTAGCCTGATCCCGTTTTTTAATTATACAGCTTACAGAATGCTATATAAAAGGTTATATGAAATGGGCAGCTGTCCTATTTTACATAGAAGAAATAACTGCACCAAACAGGGGTGAGTTTAAGGCAGGGGTGGGCAACTCCAGGCCTTGAGGGCTGGTCTCCTGCAGGTTTTAGATATCACTTTGAATCAGCTGTGTTGGATCAAGGACACATCTAAAACCTGCAGGACACTGGCCCTCGAGGCCTGGAGTTGCCCACCTATAACACCGTTATAACATCTGTTTTCAGCAGCACAGAAACTTTGCGTGAATGCAGAGGGCAAACTTCAGAATGCTGATTTACCTGATGCTCTTCATTGCAGCAACCACATTCTCCTTTAAAGCCTTACAGACACAAACTCGCTCTTCGCTTGACTTCTTCATACTTAAACAGGCAGACACACGTGCACAAAAACTCATAAACATGAACTACCTCATCCCAGAAATAAAGCTTTGCCAGAGAGTGCTTTAGAGTCTTTACATATTTTTGCATTTAAGAAAATGTTGTTGTTTTTTCCAAAAAATTAAATTTGATCTGACATGTAAATACAGTCAGTGGGTTTATGTTTGTTGTTTTTCTGACAGGTGTTGTGTGCAGCTAAACTTTAAAACACTGCAAGTTCTAAAATGGAAACCAATGAACAGTTCATTTTGAAAGACCTGTGTTTTTTCTCTTTTGAATATTTATTATTGCTCATTAATAAGACAAAAGTATTTCTTATCCAATTAATCGATTGAACAATCAATAGATTACTCGATTACTAAAATAATCGATAACTGCAGCCCGACTGTCAAGTGTTACATTTTTAATGCCTACTGATTTTCTATTGGCAGGTATGGTAAAATGAAGCTACAGAAGCTACAGCAGAAAAAGGTGAACAAACAAGAGGACAAGATGGAAGAACAGATGTTTATAGGTAAGAATGAAGGTTTTACAAGGACATGTGGTGCATTGTTCTTTAGATGGGATCTGTCTTTGACTGTCACTCGGTTTGGTACTAATAGCAAGAGGTAGCATTTACCAGATATTATTTTCAACATTTCTTTGAAAGTCTGGGTCTTTTTGACATATTTAAAACACTAAAGGTCTTCGACACAGCACTTGCTTCAGTAGCATTTCTTTTTTCGTAGTACACCATCTACTAGGTAAACAAGGGTGCAGATGGAGGACATGCTGTGAGATATTCTTTCAGTAAAGCATTTTTTTTTTTTTGCAGTACTGTCCTGATCACTTCCCTCTGAGGAAATTTCAAACCTCTATCTGAAGTAATCCCAGATTCAGCTGTTAGAACAAAACAAACATTAAAAATTTGTCAGTCTGAGCCAGAGTAAAACCAAATGACGCAGAACCAAATCACCTCAGTTGTAGTTCCCCGTGAAATTAAAGTAAGGACCCAATTCAAGTATATTAGATGATGTGTTTCTGGTGTAAGCCACAATGGATGCAGTGTTTAATGCCTTCAGTTGACATAAAAATCAACCACAAAGTTACTGTTTATGCTCATCTTTTCTGTTTGTGCCCTTATAAATCTACACTGTTTCCTACACAGAAAGTGGGAAGAGCATTTGCATCTCTGGGGTTTACAGAGACTGGTCCAAAAACAAATATTAGTGTGTGTAGATAGATGGATAGCCTACCTATGTATAATCACATTCTACGCATCCTATGATCGCTCACAAAGCTCTCAAACCGGTTTCTTGAATATGACAATGAGTTCACTGTATTCGCATGGCCTCCACAGTCCTCATAACTCATAATAGACTCATAATGGAACGGGAAATGTTATGGATGTGCAGTCCACAAATCTTCACCAATTGCGCGATGCTGTGATGTTAGTACGCACCAAATTCTCTGTGCCATAAATTAAGGAAGTGCTGAAAGCAAAACGAGTTTAAGCCGTTATTAGGACAGTGTAGCTAATAAAGTGACCAGTGTATAAATCAGGTGTTATGGTTAAAAGTTGTTGGGCTATACAAACATGGAAAATGGCAAGAAGTATTTAATTAAGGCAGCTTAACATGGCAACGGTGAGTGGTCATTAAAAAAATCCCTGTAGTTAAATGATGGCTTTTGTTTCGTAGATGATGTTCCTTTTGGTGAGGTTACAATGGCCCCTCCCTCTTTGAGTGCCAAACCAAGGAAAGCTGAAGTCAAATCTCAGGTAATCACACCGTGCATTGATCACATGATCTCTCATCGAACCATGCAGATGGTTCATAAAATCCTATTTCCTTTTTTTCCCCATTTCATTGTGCAGAAAGCATCAAAGGAGCTGCTCCTAAACTCTCTTCTTGGCCATACTGCAGTCTCCACTACAAAGCCCTCCATGGCCAAACAGAGAATCATGGAGGAGGAGCGGGAACGAGCAGTAGAGGCATACCGTCAGCTGAAGAAACAGAAACAGCAGCAGTATGAAGCTAGGACTGCAAGCATGAGAAAACTCAAAAGCCTTCATTAATGTCGCTTTTCACTCAGCTCATCTGCAGTCAGTGTTCCTGGCAGCAGCAGGGCTGAGCAGTGATCTGTAGAAACTGTCTAAATAAGATGGAGAGCTAGCCACATTTGAGATTAATATCTGGAGGAACTTTATGCATCCATAGGCCACTGTTGGAGGCTCCTGTAGTTCAACAGGTACAGCAGGCTGTTTGCTTTTCATGAAACTGGCAACATACCACTCCCCCACCCACGCTGTCTAAAAGAGGGGGAAAATGTGTAGTATTCAAATGTCTGTGTGTGCAAGGGTGGATGTGGCTCCTTGTGTAAAGCGGTTGGTTGGGAAAACTTTAAGGGCACTGTATAATTCCATTTTATCTTTAGGTACACTAAACAACACTGCCGCTTTCACAACGTTGTTAATTTAAAAGAGTGAACGGCTTTCAAAGTGCTTTGTAACACTGCAGAGTCATTTCCCAAGTCCGATGGAAAATACATGGAGATATTTTGCCTATGCTCATTTATCACCCTTGGAACGCTTGCGTATTTCATCATTTGTATTTACAGTTTTTTCACATTTGCATGTTCAGATAACCAAATTCTGAGGTCGTCCGTCATGTGATGGACAGTAAAATCCATCCATCAGGTTATTTCAAAGTAAAGATGATCCTCTGATTGTTTTTAGTGGTCCCACTAGATGGCACTCCTCTTGTACACAGCCGACATAACTTGCTCATTGTTGGTGCCACATTATATATTGAAGTATTTTATATTGTTGTTAAATGGTTGAGTGGTAATGACTGCATTTTATATAGAAAATGTAAATAACATGTTGAGAGAAACCATGAGGTCATTTATTATTAGATGTTTTTGATTTTTTCCATGCTCCTCAGCAGATGTTTGCTGTTTGTTGTCATATTCCCTGTTTTTTTCCAGAGCATTTGGATAAATCTGGAATTGTCATCCACACTGATGTTCAGAAACACCAGCTGAAAAAACAAATATCCTCATGAGACCTTTTTAGCTGTTCTTGGGTTTTAAAGTCCTTTGCAGCTGCTGTTTTTTGTTTGTACGTCTGTGATAGCCTCTGTCTTGGGATAAATGAGCCATTAGCCTTTTTAAATGTGCAGCATTTATTAGAGCCTGGCACAGCTATTTATATTTGTAATCCTTCGAAGGCTTTACACTCATGAACGAAGCCATTGTTTAAATATTTGCATATGAGACAGACTGCGCATATTCAAATCTTTGTTCAAAAACTTTCAAAGCATGCTATCTAAGGAAAAAAAACCACATTGATAATATAATGCAATAGTGATCAACTGAATAATATGACCAGATGGTGTCAATACTGAATTCTTCTTATCTGGTTCGTGGGTCCAATCACTGCTATTTAATCAGCTTGACTGGTGAAACCCTCAGTCCATGTTTGTCCTCTGATGGTTGTCACAGTGACACGGAAATGTATTAAGTGGGGACAGCTGCTGGTGATTGGGTGCACCGACTCCCTTGAGCTGAGCACATTTGCCATTGGTTATATTCCACCTGTGTGCAGGACAGCTGTTCACATTATCAGAGCTTTACAGCTGTTTTTCACTTAGGATGTTAAGATACTGGTTTTTTTTTACCTTCTTCTTCTTCTTTTAGTTGAATTTACTGACCCCGGAGTTACGTAATATACAAAGCTTCAATCGTGTTAGCGTATTTATATAGTCAAATATTTCAAGTGCAATGTGGCACATTGTGAGTTCTCTGTATTAAATGTTTTACCAACCATCCAAAGGTCCGCTGGGAAGCACGAAATCTAACCAGACTTGAGCAGTTTCATTGGAAATATTCTGCTCTGTTTATGTCCACATGCAGTGTTTCATTTTGGATATCATGCAATGCTTGTTTTTTTCAGCCAGATCAAGAAGGTGATACTGAAGGTTATTACAGAGGAAAACATCATTTGCTTATGTGTTCTGTTGTTCAGTGCTGTCTGATTTCCTGTTAGTGAGCAATTTATCTTCCGATCAAGTACCCATGGCTGCTGACAGTACAGGATGGGAAAGAGTAATTGGGAGAGAGACATTTAAGCCTGCTGCTAGGCAGCCACTGCTGACTGAAGCTTTTAAAGACGTGTGAGTGTGTGTGAGCGAGATAAATTATATTAAAATAATTGTGCTTGTCATGTAGAGAAGACAGACTACCTCTTGTGAGTCAGAGCAGTTGTAGATGAAAATTTTTGCAGCAATACGTACGCAATATTAATCTGTTACCACAGCGATTGATGATTGGATTCAGCAGCATTACAACAACATCAGCTTGACTATCACAGCAGTCTCTCTTACTGAACTACAAACTCAGGCATCACAGAGCCAACCCCTGGATGTCGTGCTAGGTGCCAGGCCAGGCTTATCAAGCAAACATATGTAAATATTTGAAGCAGTAAACTTAGCAATCCTGCTGACATGATGACACTTCCTCTTTTACCATCCAGTACCTTTCGTTATTAGTTGATTCTTTCTGCAATCCAAAACGCCAGAGAATTTAACTGAAATTTGTAGGGCTGACACCTTAGAATTTACACCTTCACATTTATTTCATTCATGGCTAAAAGCCACATTTTTGCATATGATTACATTATTATAGTTACACAAATTTACAACTAAGTATGTTATACTGTGGTGATCATGAACAAATTCTAACGCATACACACACACACACATATATGTGTGAACGTGTTAGAATTTGTTTATATATATGTGTGTATATATATCATCTGTATATATATATATATATATATATATACAGATATATATATACACACATATCTTGTATTTGTTGTATTTTACTATATAATCTTTCCTCTGTAAGCCCAGTGTGGTTTGCATCATTATAATAATGTGTGGTTTTGATGTACATAGAGCAAGCATTGCATAAGCATTAATGGAAACTAAGCAGTCATATACTGAATATTACTGGACTTTCACTCTGTTATTGCTTAAGAGAAAACAGAGATATAAAATATCTGATTCTTGGAGCTCTGAGATGGAAAAGCTCAGTGCAATGTGCTCGGCTTGGGCTGCTAACTTATGATAGTCCTGAAGATGTTTAGGAATCCACTGAGCACGACTAGGAGCTGCAGCTCCCCATATTCAAAGGGCCAGGTGTGGTTCGAAGTATCATTGAGTCTTGGTCCTTCTGTGAAAATACACATATGGATTATTTTCACATGTGATGTCATAAAGACGGGATGTTTCGTGATTAAAAATAGCACTCACCCTTGTCAGACCTTTGGCAATCAAGGCTATTTCAGTGGGCTGGTATAAACAACTTCGTGCCTGACCATTGTAAACCCCATATGGAGACGTTGGATTTGTGGATTCTGTCATAAAAAATGTTATTTTACAGTCATTACTGGATTCATTTTGTTGTCTGTGTGCAATCTGTTGCAAAAACCTAGAGCCACTCCCAATTTTTTAAAATTATTGCGCTTCCAAGGAGCTGCACTTTCTTAAAATTGTCCAAGTGATGTTGAGCATCAGTTGTCCATTCTTTCTGAAGTTTGTTTATTTTTTTAAAAAAAACAAAATTGATGCCCAAAGTGCCTTTAGCCAGAGGTTTTGCATATCTCAGCATGGTATGAGCATATATGTGTATGTGCTTGTATGTAACGAAATTTGCTACATTCAAACTGGCATTGATGTGGATAGAAAAATACAGAATGGGACATTATATATTTCAGTAATATTGTGGTCTGAGCCTCAACATTACTGAAGCAGTTTGGGTTTGGGCCAGAAAAACAGTGATTCTTCGCAATGGCAATATGCTTTGTGCTGATAATGTGGGTTGTGGGTAAATAGGAAAGTGGTATACAAAAACAGCAATTTTCAAAATTACAAAACAGTAAACTGGAGAAGGTGTACTGTAGCCAGTGTGGGTCTTCATTTGCTACACTGATGCATTATGTAATATACCACGCAGTGCTTGTTATCAGTTTGGAATAATCCAAACGTGTCTCAATAAAATTTAGAAATTAATTCCTATTGATTACTTAATTACTACTTAATAAAATGTATTAATTCTAATGATTCTGTACCCACCTAAACAGTATTAAACTGCTGAACTGTGAAGTTAATGGCTGACCATAATGTGTTATGCTGTACCTGGTTCATCCATAGAAAAGGCTTTATTTTCTACGTAGACATGCTGCGGGGTGGGCTGTGGCTCCTTCAGAATGTTGTCGTAAACCAGGCTTCTAGCAGGATAGACTTCTTCCCCATCGGGTTGTTCCTTGTTTGGGTCCTCCTGGGTCAATAAACAGATTTCTGGAATTGCATAGAACAAGAGGAACACCCAGGCATTTGACACCACGGCTATAGCCATAGTCGGATCGTCCCAGCTGGAATTATCAACTGCTCGGTTCCCATAGATGTACATGACAATCCAAGCTATCCAAAGTGCCAAAGTGAGGACTCCTGTGACCAGGATAAAGGCTCCATCTCGGCGCCAGTGCTTTTGCTTGTGTGTTAGTGAGGGCACAGACGTTAGCACCACAGCTGCTATCAGAACCATTACATATATAAGAGCCATCACAAAGTCCCGGCTGACAAAGCTGCAGGCCAGGTCAGGAACACCGAGACCTCTGAGTGGGCTCCTGGCCACAGTAATGACAAGCCACTCGGTGTTGATGATCACCTCGACAAGCCAGAGAGCCAGGGCTCCCAGCCATAACATCCAGCTCCTGGGCCCCTGGCCTCCCCTTTGCAGCAGGGCAAGCCACAGCCCATGCATCACCAGGCAGGCCAGACAGCCTGAGAACAGTACTCCAAACAGGTACCTCCGTGCAGCACAGGTAGTAGAATACTGCTCCACAATAAAGGCAAAACTAAGTCCAAACAGACCCAGTGTGAAAACTAAAATGCTGGCCTGCAGGCCCACCATACCCTTTCTCTTCTTGTCTGTCACAAACGGTAAGCTAGCCATGAGAATGACGAACAAGATAAAGGCAGTCAGCACACCAACAGCAGCAACAGCTTCCACTACGATGCCCCATACTGCTGTCAGGTCACACAGATTATAATATATGGAGCTCACATCACCACCACATCCTTTTGGAGCACTAGTTGGGTCCATCGCTTCACTGCAAAAAAAAGAAACAAAAATAATTTGATTACTTCAACATACATGTTAATGTTGTAGTTACAGATTTCATTAATAACATCCCTGATTATTACAAAACAAACTATTGGTTTAAATTGCAAGTAATATTACTGTAATAGTTTAATATTGCTCACACAGTAATATTACTGTGTGAGCAAGTTAAATGGTGCCATGCATATACAGCTGTGCCATTCCACTGGAGTTTCAATATGAAAATGACCTCATTTCTATTTTATGGAGTTTTAATGTGCCATACTAATTACTGTAAATTCAAATATTCATTCAGGTCTCTAAAGAATCCTGGAATTATGTACTGCATTCCCTGGCTGTAATTACAAAACTGAGTCATTCTACACAGAGCTTTAGTCACCGCTCACTCTATAGCCTCCTAAGACCAGCTAATTAGGAAAAGCAGCATTTCAGCATTTCAGCATTTTACCATGACACCTAATGAGTATTTCCACACAGTATCCCTGTTCCAGTACGCACACAGGTGTCATTCAGGAATCATATGTATTTTAATAGCAGAATGTATAGTTGTAGGTGTATATTTTAAACCAGTTATAATTGAACGGCAACTTAATTATTGTTTATTCTCTTCTTCTGACTGTAACTGTAATATAATAATTAAAGGACACGACATTCAAAAATGAATATGCTTTTTATGCGAACTTTCTGACTGTGAAGATTTCAGATAAAGGTGCCTGTGTGGGATGAGAACATCGTCCTGCTGCTTATTTAATAATTATATTACACCCAGTGAGTTAGCTTAGTTAACTAACCACAAAAACAGGACATGCTGTTTAAAGGACAACAAGTTGTTTATGATTATTTATATAACAGAATCGGAGAGACTTAGAGGGGGAGACAGTTATGATGTTATAAAAATAAAAGACAAACAGGTTCAATCAGGAGTCTTTGCGTAATAACACGAGTCTCTTACCAGGATTGCAATGAGAGCTGTTCCGCTAGCCTCTCCAACAGGTAACAGGTAGATTCAGTCCGATAAAGATTACTGACCTGCGAAAAGGAACTTCCCTTGCACGAACGAGTTGATTTTTTATTGGTGGTAGTAGTTCATCTCCATTTTTACAACACTTCTTGATGATTCGACCAATAATTTCTGTGCGTCAGGTGTTGACTTTTGTTTTTTTTTTTTTCGGGCGGGATCAGAAACGGACCTCCATCGGTCACTCCTCTTTTATTCAGGCATCTTATAGTAGTGACCTCACAGGTAGTCCCAACGAAGTAGTTGCTTCTTTTAGTTGTTATTAATATTCTGTAAAAGTTCTCTAACGACTAACCTCAAACCACCCTGCTCCTTCCCCAGCCTCTGGTACCTACAGCTTTGCATATTCTTTGAGATTAGCACCCGGCCTACTTATTTATTTCAGGCAGCTTACATCCAAACAAAGGGAGCACTCATGTATACAGGCTATGCGAAGTGGTATGACCCATGCAAACACGCCGATCATCGATGACTTTAACAGGTTTTGTAATTAGGTCAATTTTGAGATTAGCCTTGAAATACTCAGCTCCTGCGCATACAGCAGCGTTTACAGTTGCCTATTTTGCGCTCCTATTGTGGAATATAATGACTCACATTCGTATTTTGGTTCAGATGATTAAATCCAATACTGCATATCAAATTTCTGAAATATAGCATTATTATTGCCCAAATGTCTAGGCTACTTTAGAGCAGTTACAGTTACAGGAGGGACTGTATGGTAAGCAGAGCCACCTGGTGGCATCAAGGCTGGGCTGAGTCCTGTGTTTTTCAAACAAATTGGATTACACAACAAAATAGATCTTTCTATTGATCCGTTGTACAGTAGGACATGTCAGTTAAAAAACCATAAGATAAATAAGCACATTAGTGAAGGAATTGATTTTAAGCTTTTAGACTGTCAGTTTTTCAAAAAGCTCTGCTTTATTTTATCTTCCATCAGTAACTTTTCCCCCCATTCCTGAAAGTTATTCAGTGGTGTTTTATGCCATAGTCTGTGTTTTCAAGTGGTTGCAGATCTGACAATTTATAAAACATAAACATGATTTTGGGTCAGGGGGTTAAACATGTTTTCAATGTTGTGTTTCTCTTTGCACTCTTTTTTTAAAAGCAGTCTCTTTCTCCTCTAATTTTAATAAACTACAAAATTTTTTTTAACCCTAGAACACTATCGCCGGGTGATTTTCACCCGAGCAAATGTATTTACATAATTTTCAATATGTTGCGTTTGTCTGAGTGTGGTGGGTCTCTGGGTAGCTTCAGCATTGTCTTTGACGTCTTTGAAGGCGTGGGTGTTTCCCTACCCCAAATCCCGCTTTTTCCTACAGGCATGTGTTCGGGTGAATTTCACCCAGCAATAGTGATAGAGGGTAAAGTAGGTTTTGGGTGGATTTCACCCGGTGATAGTGTTAGTGTATAAAATCAGGTGATCTTGCCGCATTTCAAGGGTGACAACATTCAGGCTCACCATATTTACTGTCCCTCTTCAACTACAGCTGTCACCCTGTTGCAGGTTTAGTGTCTTTGGCATCTCAGCTAGTGAGTAACACAGAGGTAAGGTTTGTTTAACTTGGCAATTGTTAGCTGATTAGATTTCTTTTTCTTTTCTTTTTTTAAATCTAAAAGCTATGTTATGTAGCTAGCTGTGGCATGACCTTAGTGGGAACAATAAAAGCAAACAAAAGGGAGATCCCACAAGTGATGAAAGTTAAAGAAAATCACGCGCCAGGCTCCAGTGCATTTCTTTTTACCAAAGAACTAACCTTGGTGTCCTTCCTCCCTGACAAAGCTTCAAAAAAGAAGGTTGTACTGCTCCTGTCATCCATGCATACACAACCAAGCATAGGACCCACTTGTAGGGCCGAAGTGATTGAATTTTACAACAAAACAAAGGGAGGTGTCGATACTTTTGACCAGATGTGCGCTCACTATGGTTGTGGAAGAAAAACCAAGAGATGGCCCCTTTGCGTGTTCTATGGCATGATCAATGCTGATGTGATAAACTCATGGATCATTCACAATGAGAATGCAATGAAGAGAGGTGAAAACCAAATGCAGAGGAGGCCTTATATGCAGGCTTTGGCATTGGCACTCAGCAAACCATGGGCAGAGCAGAGGCTCCCCTCTTCAAATCTGTCACATCAACTCAGAGTCCTGATCTGTAGCGTGCTCGACATCCCTACCCCTGGCACTCTTGAAGGTGAGGCACGACCAGTGGCAGCAGAAAGCAGTGGTCCCTTAGTGAGGTGTGCCCCACAGGCTTGGACAGGAAGACGCGATACAGGTGCCATGTCTGCCGTCGACCGGTGTGTCCACGCCATTACTACCCTGTGTGTACTGACTGCATGTAAGGAATAGGTAAGTAAAAGTGGTCCTGGAATTTGCATGTTATCCTTATTTAGTGCAGTGGTTATGAATAAATATCAATAAGTGGTGATTTCCAAGGGAATTCATATGGTAAAAAGAAATATTTTAGTCAACTGGTCATTTTTACCCACTCAAAAAATGCCATTTTTTGTTTCTCTCTCCTGCAGCTGTTCGCGTGTCAAGGAGACTGTGCCTTCACCAGGGAAGACTCAAATATCCCAGGAATGGGTGGACCAAAGACCAAGTTTCCAGCATCATTATATTTTTGTTTAGGATTTGTTTTGTTCTCCAACTGCTAATTTTCCAGAAATTTTGGAGCATTTTTTAGGGTCCCCCCATGAAACTTTTTTTCCATTTTGTTAGATATGGCACAGCTGAAAATAAAAGAAAACCCCTCTAATTTGTCATGTGTTGTCATATATTTTATATATTTTGATGACAAGTACTTTTTGTTGGGTATATTATATTGGGTAAAAATCACCCGGCATTAGTGATGGTGGTACTATTTTTAGCGATAGTGTTCTAGGGTTAAAAAGTAATAAAGTTTTTGTTTTTTAATTCAGTGTAATATAAGAGTAAGCGTCTCCTCACTGGCTTCACTGGCAAGTACCAAGGTGGACCTATTGAAGACAAACTATGGAGGACGTAATCGGCTACAATAATCAAAGCAGGAGAAAACTGAAGTCTGCAATAAATGTTCACAATTATTGGTTGACAGTAGAGGTGTGAAGTTTTTCAGATAAAAGAAACACAACTGGATGAGCTGTGACATAAGAAATTAGAATCAGAATACTTTATTAATCCCAAAGGAAATTATATAGTTACAGTAAGTACAGAACAGACTGAACTAAATTAAATAATAAAATACATTTCAAAGTTAAATATAAGAAATAGCTCTAATATATACAAATAGCTCAATTAGAAATATCCAGAATATTATCAAGATTAAATATATATGATTGACATTTTACCCTAAACTGAAAACTATAAAACTTTGCAACTATTGTACTGTGTACTGTGCATTAGATGGAGGAGTTGTACAGGGATGAGTGATTTCTTGTGTTCTTCAGTCTTGCATTTGGGTAATCTCAGCCTCTCACTGAACCTGCTCCTTTGCAAGCATGTCATGGAGTGGATGGGAGGTATTGTCAAGCATTGTCCTTATCTTGGACAACATCCGCCTTTCCGAAATCACCTTAAGGGAGTCCAGCTGTATCTCCACAAAATTCCTGGCCTTGCAGATCAGATTTATTGAGTCAACCTGCCACCTCAGAGAAAATCATGACAAATGTTAAAATACCTCAGCCGCTTCAGAAAATAGAGGTGACTCCATTCCTGTAGAGTGCACTGGCACTTTAACCCTGTCTAGTTTATTATCTATGTGTACTCTGAGGTATTTACAGCCCTCCACACTGTCCACATCGACCCCCTGGATTGAAACAGGGGGTCACAGGTTTCCTGGTCCTCCTAAAGTCCACAATCAATTTTTTTGGTATTGTCACGTTGAACTGCAGATGATTCTGCTCGAACCACATGACAAAAAGGAGTCCACCACAGCCCGGTACTCCATCACATCACCCTGACTAATGCATCCAACCACCGCAGAGTCATCAGAAAACTTCTAAAGATGGCAGGTCTCTATGGTGGCTGAAGTCTCAACAATCCAGGACACAAGAGAGGCATTTATTGCATCGCTGTCAGCTGATCACCCAGGAGGGTTGGCCTGATACTATTGAATGCACTGGAAAAATCGAAAGAGATGATCCTCACAGTACTCACCGGCTCGTCCAGATGGGCATAGACACAATTGGTAGATGATGGTGTCCTCAGTTCCGAGGTGGGGCTGGTAAGCGAACAGAAGCAGATCCTGATATGGTCTGACAATAGGTGGGAGCTGCTCAAGGATAAGTCTTTCCAGGGTTTTCACGACATGGGAAGTCAGTGCCACGGGTCTGTAATGGGGGCCACTGAGACGTGGCATCTTTGGTACAGGAACAGAGCATGACGTCTTCTACAGTAATGGGACCCTCTGCAGACTCAGACTCATCATGAACAGTTTATAAAAGACTGCACAGGCCTTGAGGACATGGGGACTCACCCCATCTGGTCCAGCAGACATGCCTGAGTGGAGTCATCTCATTTGTCTCTGAATTTGTCTCTATCTGCTTAGACGTAATTCATATTCTTGCTCAGAAATAGTCAACTTTTGTGCATTAAAGCATCTGAAAGTTTTATGCATTTACATTCATTTAACTTTTTTTTTTTTTTGAAAATTCATGACTGTCTTGTTTGAAACCCTGGCTAACTGATGCTTTCCCTCCCTGTTTAGAACAAGGGTAAGGTCATCCAGGGCACCTTGCTAAAGCCGGCTCTGGCATCCAGCCTGTACTTAACTTATTGTTTATACTGCGTGATGGAGCCCCCCATGGTGCATTGATCTCTCAATGGATCTTGTCCCCAGGGGTGCTCTCTCAAATCCAGCAGTTTGTCAATCCATCCTTTTGCATTTTGGTCCGCTCAGATTCTTAATAGGAGGTTAGATCGAAGGAGAAAGCAATGTGACCTAAATGAAGGACATGCACTTTTCAGAGCTTTAGGCCTACTTTACTGTGAATTCTGCTTGCATATACCAAGTTCCTGAACTGGTAAACCAAGCGAAACCCAGTTAATACATAAAAATATTCATAATATTTACATGCAACAAAACAGGCTGAGTAGTTGACATAAGTCTCAGTGTGATGTCTATATTTTCTGTCTAAAGCTAAAACAGACTGAGATGATGAGATGCTACCATATATAATCCTGTACCCTGTCTGTATTGTCTTGTCCAGTTTGTTGCAGCAGACCTCATTAGGACACCTCAGCTGCACTGCTCTCCTTTGAGAACATGTCAGGTTATTCATAGAAGTGGCTCAGGTTTGGGTCTCACAGGACATCTCTTCTCCTGCATTTTTATTGCAGCCTGGCAGCCCTCAGCACTTCACCACAACCCAGTTCCATCTGAAATGGCCGCTCTCCTCGTCT